TAAACCAAAAGGAAAATTTAAAAATTTCTGGAAACAATTGAAAATGAAAAATATAATAAACGTATGGAAGCAGTAAGACAGAAGTTTATACTAACAAGTACCTGCATTAAAAAATAGATTCAAAAGAACCTGAAAGTACAACATAAGAAACTAGAAAAACAAGAATACACTAAACCCAAAATTACCAGGAGAAAAATAATAACAAAGATCAGAGTAGAAGCAAGAGACTAAAAATAGGATTAAAAAAAAAAAAATCAATGAAACAGAGTTGATGTTTTGAAAAGAAAATTGACAAAATTGTAGGTAGACTAACCAAGAAAAAGAGAGAAGACCCAAGTAAGATCAGTAATGAAAAAGAAGAGGTGGGCTGGGGAGATGGCTCAGTGGAATAAGCGCTTTTCCAGCAAGTGCAAGGGCCTGAGTTCAATTCCCGGTTCCGCAAAAAAAAAAAAAAAAAAAAAAAAAAAAAAAAAGAAAAGAAAAAGAAGAGGTGACAATTGATATCACTGAAACAACAATCATTTGGAGCTATTATGCACAACTTAATGCCAGCAAATTGGAAAACTTAAAAGAAACAGATACATTTCTAAGCATTTATAATCAAACAAAATAGATTCAAGGGTACATAAAAAAACCTGAGCAACGCTTAACAAGCAAAGACACTGAGTCAGTAATAAAAAGTCTCCCAAGAAAGCCTAGGACTAGATAGCTTCACTGTAGAATTTTGCCGAAGCTTTAAGGAAAAACTAACACCAAGTCTTCTCAAATGATTCCAAAGGCCTAAAATGGAATGAACTCCTTCAAACTAATCTTACAAAGTCAGGATTACCCTTATACTAAAATCAGACAAATGTACAACAAAAATGAAAACAACCAAGCAGTATCTCTTATGAACAATATATGCCTAAATTCTCAAAAATACTCATCAAATCCAATAGCAAATATAAAGGATTATGATCAAATGGTATTTACACAAGGAATACAGGCTGCTTCAACATACACAAATCAATGAATACAGTACATTAAATCAACAGAATGAAGGACAAAAGCCTGAAGATCATCTCAATAGATGCAAGAAAAATATTTGATGAAATCCATTCTTCCTTCATGATTAAAACCCCTAAAAAAATTAGGTATCCTAGTAATGTACCTCTTCATACTGAATAGGAAAAAAATTATATATTTAAGATCAAGAACAAGATAAGAATGTCTATTTCTACCACTCATTCAATAAAGTATTAGAAGTAGTCTTAGGTAGAACAAGAAGACAAGACAGAGAGAAAGATGGGGGGGGGGGAGAATGAGAAGAAGGAAGGAAGGAAGAAAATCCAAATAGGAAAGGAGGAGATCAAATTAATTCTCCAAATGACAGGATTTTATATACTAAAAAAAAAAAAAAAAAAAAAAAAAAAACACCAAAACCTAATGACTCCACCAAACAAAGTGAGAACTTACAAACAAGTTCCACAAGATGCAGTATATAAAGTCAACATATAATAATCAAAATTTTTATATAGCAATAATGAAACTGCTGAGAAATCAAGTAACCATTCCATTCACAAAAGCTTTTTAATAAATTTGACCAAGGAAAAGTTCTTGACAATCAAAATTAGAAAACACTGACAAAGAATTGTAGGAAACAAACACAAATGGACAGTTTGTGTACATGCACTGTAAGAATTCACATTGTTAAGCTGTTCACACTACCAAAAGCAATCTACAGATTCAATATAACTCCCATACAAAATATTAGTGACATTCTTCATAGAAATAAAAAGAAAATCCTAAAAAAAAAAATCCTAAAATGTGAATGGAACCATGTAGGACCCCACTGCCTACATGAGAGTCAAAGCAATCTTTAGCAAAAAGAACAAAAATTGAAGTATTAAAATACATGTCTTGAAAGTATTAAAGCCATCATAACTTTGTACTGGCAGAAAATCAAACACAAATGACACTATAAGCCCAGACTCAAATAGATATTCTTACCAGTTTTTGACAAAGATGGCAAGAATACACACGGTAGAAAAGATAACAGAAGGTGTTTGGAAAAATGGCCATATATATGCTACAGAATCTGTGCCCTTATATCTCATCATATTCAAAGAGCAACTGAAAATGAGTGAATGATTTAAAGGTAACATTCAAAAGTAAGAAAACTAAGCAGGGCTCCATGGTGTTTCCTCTCAACCCAGCTCCCCTGGAGGCAGAGGCAGAAAGACTGCAGATTTGAGGTCAATCTGGGTAACTAAGCAAGGCTTCGTCTTAAGGAAAAAAAAATGCTAGGGACATTACTCAGTGATAGTGTGCCTTTTACTATAAATTTTGAAGAACAACAAAAAATTTATTATATCTTTAAATCTTTAAATAATAAAAAATTTATTATATCTTTAAAGTATGTCTGAGGATAATGTTCTTTTTACAGTCTCAGTTATAAATTTCTTTCTCTCATTCTTACTTTTTAATTATTGTAGACCTCTGATGGTTATTCATATAGCTCTACAACTGCAGTGTTCTCAGTATCAGTCTAAGCTGAACAGGAACCTAAGAAAGGTAGTGTCCAGGATGCATACTACATTCCAATGAGATACACTGCATATGCCAACCCTGAAAGAAGCTATGGAAAGAAAGTTCCAAATGAATAAACTAGAGTGTAGTAGGTAAAACAAGGACAAATGGGTGAAGTCTTTTTTCTTTTTTTTGGTGGAACTGGGGATTGAACTCAGGCCCTTGCATGCTTATTCTACTGAGCTGAAGTCTTGAGAGTTGTGGAAAGTATATAGACCAAGACACAAAGAATGATACACCTCAGAAATTCCATCAAGTGAGTGACATAATATATCACAGCCTTAATAGTGTTCTACCCTAGACAAGAACCCCATGGGTGGTTTTCCTTAAGGGGCTAGCTTAACCATGTAAAAGATGAAGAGAAATGTTTTCAATCACATGTTTTTCTCAGGGTTACCCATAAGAATGTCAACCATTGAAACACCATGAAATGGCTCTGACAAGATTGGCCACTTCATAAAATTTAAACATTGGTTGATGTGTCTTTTTCTGGCAGAAACATGTTTTAATTATTATAGCTTTGTAACATACTCTGAAATCCTGTACTCTGTCTTCAGCCTTGTTCTTTTTAGTTAAGATTTGTTTATATGGCTATTCAGTTCCATATGAGCTTTAGGATTATTTTCTACTACTTCTGTAAAAAAAATGACATGGAAATTTTGAAAGATTTCACTGAGCTTATAAGTTGTTTTGGATGGTACAGACATTTTAACAAGCCAGACACAGAGATAAGCACTCTATGATCTCATTTATAGCCACAAAAGTTGAAGTTACAGAATTAGAATAGAATTATTACCAGAGGCTGGGGAGAGGGGAGATGCTGGTTAATGCATTAGGAGGGGTAAATTCTGGTGTTCTAATGCAAAGCATGATGATGGAACAAAGTTAATAATAACATGTATTTCAAAATAAAATATTTTAAATGTCCTTGCCATAAAGAAGTGACACGTATGTGAGGTGAAGAATACAATAATTAACCTAATTGGTCATTCTCCAGTCAAGTTCACTTGCATTTCTACAACTGCGGTGGTCTTCCCGAACAAAACACTGACTTTCTCCGTTCCCTATTTAAAACTCCTGATGTCTGGTATGTGCTGTACTCTGAACTTTTCCTTGCTCCTTATTTATGTTTCTGGAATAAAATAATCTTTTTATTGTCAAAGCCCTTACATATACTGAAACTCCTTTCATCTACATCCCATGTGTCTGATTAACAACCCTTTGTAGCTTCTTTGGGAAAATGTTTTCTTAACCTCCAGACCAGATCAGGCCTCTGGACAGTTCTCCCTTCACCTCTTTCATAGTACTCAGTCTAATTTGTAATTATGCTTATAACAATCTATACTCTCTGCAGACAATATGATAAAGTGGTAAGAAAAGTTTAAAAAAATTACCAATGAATACCCAGGGTTCAATAACAAGCACACTGCTTGGACTATTTTAGGAGATTAAAACTTTTACTTAGTAAATGAAAGCAGAGGAAAATTGGGATGTGTTAGTACTTACCTGCGCACTTATCCAAGCTCTGCCAAGCATGATGGTTACTGAAGTGTACTTTTTCCTTTCTTTGCTTGATATTTTTTTTTGTTGTTTTCTATAAATTCAAATATTCATTGCCTCATAGGCTTTCTAGTGCTTGGAGGAGTCACTTCATGCTGGGGAAATGACATGGAATGAATATGTTTCTGTTGCCAGTCTCTGGTCTAATGTGGTGTGAGAGTTCACTATGCAGAATTCAATTTTCTTTGCATATGTTGGGTCCTTTGTTTTTGTTACATTCATGATCTTTGTGTGTGTGTGTGTGTGTGTGTGTGTGTGTACTTGGTACAGCGTGTCACTACGCAGATTGGAGTCATGGTGATCCATCTGTTTTCAGCCTCTGCAGCACTGGGATTACAGGCATGTGCCACCACACCCAGACTCATTTGCCAGCTCAGCACGTCTTGGGGGTGGGGCTGGTGCAGCATGCGGGACTGGGGAACAAACCCTGGTTCCTGCGCTTGCCAAACCAGATGCTTAGTCCGCTAATCATGGTCTATTTTGAAGAAAAGAAAAAGACTAGAAAATTCTAAGGAGATAAAGAGTGGATTAATGGTTGTCCAGATTTGTAGAGGTGTGATTAGGAGATGTTGGCTCATGAACAGTATTTTGATTTGAGATAATAAAGTGATGTAAGTTTGACTATAGTTACAATTGTACAGCTGTTAATGTGCTGGAATTTGTTGAATCTTGCACTCTACTAAAGTTTGTGGATTGTGTGGTATGCAAGTTTTTAATTCAATGAAGTTCATTTAAAAAAAAAAAAGAGATGGCATGGAATGAAAGGTAGCTGTGATCTGACATGGGAATAGGCTATCTCTGCCCTAAATTTTCCTTCTCAGAACCATTAAGGGCCTTTGTAGGGAGAGGAAGATTCACATGACAATACTTACTTGTTCCCAGGAAGAAATCATATGACGTTCAGCAGGTGCCTTTTCTATGATGGTTACCTCTGTCACACCTGGAGAAGATTCTAGAGGAAGGAAGAAAAAAAATCTATAGAGGTGCAATCAGCTCACACACAGTCTATACTACAGGTTAACTAACTGTTGATAATGGCACTAGGACTATCAGATCCTTCTGATGAATATTAAATCCCTTGTAATGAAAAGCAGAGAACTGGTTGGTCCCTGAAAAAGTACTCAGTTCCATAACTTAGGATGATAAAGTCTATTTGATAGAAAGAATATTAACAAAACATACAGTACATTATACTCAAACATTACTCAGTCACTTGTTAATTAAAAGAGATTCTAAATTCCTAGTGAATGTCTCAGTGGGTAAATACACACATTCATGGTGAAAAGGAATAAAGAACAATATCTCATCAAGTTTTATAAGACATTAAACTTCATTTGCTATTCTTCTAAATAAAACTCATTTTGAATATAACATTCCACTCTTTTCAGTACAAGATTTAGAAACTAGGCTAACATTATGAAAGATGAATTTTATTGAAAAATATTTTGAGAATGAAGTAAGTCATACCTTTACACTCCCCCAAAAGAAAAAGATCTCCAAACAATATGGTCCCTTCTCTTTGTGGAAATGTGACTTACCACCTACTCTGAGGTAAATAAAAAGCCATCTGGAAATATAAAAGATTCTAATACTCATGTCACATTCTCTACTTATCTATTCATCTATGCTCAAGACTTTTAAGTCCTTGACCTAAAATATAAAATCTTTTACAGAAGTTATTATGGCTTGAATTTTATCTTTTCCACAAAAGTTATGCTGAAGTCCTAACACCAGGATTTCAGAATATGATCTTATTTGGAAATTGAGTTGTTGCAGATGTAGTTTAGATGATGTCATATGGAAGTGCAACAGACTTATAGTCTCATGTGATTGGTGCCCTATTTATACTAGAAAGGACACCATGTGAAGAAACATACAGATAGAACAAGGCATTGTGAAGATAGAATTGAAGTGAAGCTTCTTTGAGACAAAATATGTCAACTACGCAACTGCACTGAAGATGGCAATTTGAACCTAATAGTAGGTTCATGCTTGCAGTGCCGGTCATTCTGGTCTTCTGAATACGGGCTGCTTGGCATGACATGCCAGTTGCTGCTGTGCTGTCTCTCGGGTAGATGATTGTTCAAAAAGAAGGGGGTGGTGAATGAAGGCAGGAGACAGGAAAAGGAATCTTGAAGGACTGTCCTGCTACAAGGTTGTATATGGTTAGATTTCTGGACTTATGTGTAAACAGAATTATATAATTCTTTCTGCCTATTTTTAAAATATATTTTAATTTTTTAAATGTTTTTTCATCATATTCTGTACAGACTTAAAGTTCAACATATCAATACTTAATGAAAAATATTCCATGTTATGTTCCATGTTATGCCTAAGATGTTTGATATTCAGACAGATAATGAAGTTAAGCTTAACAGCCTAGGTTGCATGGTAATAACAATAAGCTTCTCTTCTGGATGGTTAACAACCTAAGAGGTTTTGCTGACCAAAATTAGAGAAAAAGGAGGGCTGCAAGGAAAGCCAACATTTTGGCCCTAGCCTTCCAAGGTCAATTAAGACTCAGGACATATGAGGACTTGTACTGTAATGTCATGTAACTCGGTAGTTTCCAAATTTTCAAATCAAGGAGATTATGGGGCCAAAGAGGAAAATGATCGATGATGTAGAGTGTGCCTAAGGAGTGTCACATGTAGAGAAAACATTCTCTCAGGCTTTCACAGAGAGCACACTGGCCAAGCCATGGCCATGACTCATCCACGTGGCTGACATTGACAAATGTTCTACAATCTGAGGTACAGGATCTCAGGATAAATCCTGAGGGGATTTGACTGACCTTATCAGACCCAAAAGCTACAACTCTTGTTGCATAGGTCTTGCTTTATCTTGGTCTTAACCAACCAGCAGAAAAGTATAAAAACGAAGTATAAGAAGTAAAGCCATGGTGTTATGTTGAGCTGTAGGGGACTCAGGTCAACAATTTCTGACACTGCCAGTCAAGAGGAAGTCCCAATACTATTATGGACTACTGGACTCCTTTAGAATATTTTGCTGAGTTCACACACCTATAATATTCAAATGATGGAACTAAACAAAAAAAGGGGATACAGATGAATGTCCATTTTGTATCTGTGTATTCAAAATGGTTACCTTCTCTTAATGAATAGAGGGATTTGTTCTAATAGTGTTTTTAAATAGGATATCATGTCTGCATCTTGTACAGCAAATAACCACTAGGAAGAGAGTATGCAATGTGTTAATTTTTGGAACTGTCCTACCAATTTGGTTTGAAACTGTCTCATTGCTATTTGTTTCTCAATAAAATTATAGGAAAAAAAAGACAAAATATGTCAAACATTGTTGGCAAACTACCAGGGAAAGGCAAAGGAGGATCTATCTCCTGCAAGTTTAGGAAAGAGCAAGGCTCTGTTCACACCTTGACTTTAGATTTTAATAATCCAAAACTGTGCAAAAAAAATAGGTTGTTCTAGACGACACCACGTGTTTTTATAGCAGCCCTATCAAACTAATGCCAAGCCCATATACTTTTGCTCTTTATGATACTGTGTAAATTATCCCCACTGTTACCACTTTTTTTTTTTTAACATCATGGTCACAGCAAGCCTTGAAAAAATCACAGCAGTGGAATTTCTTCCAGCTTTTCTTTTTTTTTGTATTTAGTATGAGGTCTACAAGGTCTACAGAGTCTCACTAGGTAGATCGGACTCATAGTGATCCACCTGTGTTCAGCCTCCCAACAGCTGGGATTACAGGCTTGTGCCACCATGCCCAGTCTCAATCGCATTTCAGTGTGCCCCCGGGGGGTGGGGACAGCATGGCAGGCTGGCAATGAGCCTCGGCTGCTGCATCTGCCTAAGCAGGTGCTTTAATTTACTGAGCTATCTTCCAGCTTTGATCTATCTTCAGCATACCACCTAAGCTCCTGTCTCTACGTAGGCCTGTTTCCTATTAAATATTGCTTATATCTTCCTTCAATCTGGAAGATTGAGGACTTACTATATTTTCTTAATTTAATTTTCTTTCACAGTCCAAATCCTATGCTTCAGTAGTGTCACTTTTCTCAGAGTCATTTCTTCCAACTTCTCAAAAACCAAATCTGTACTGATATTATTACGTTGTACCCCATTCCTGACACAGATACCCATATGTGACAATGATTCTTTTCACCTACCCAACTTCTACTCATAATTAAGGCTAGCTTCAAGTTCTACATTCTGCATGGAACCACTTCTCTTTACTCCACCTCACAGAGATCTCTGATTTTCCTGATAAAGCACCTGATCTCCTGTATGGTCTGTACATGTTTGTACATTCTATGTTGAGCTTTATCTTGGTGTTATGCTTTGTGTGTATTCCCCCCCCGCAAAAGCCTCATGCATGTCACTGAGGCATGGTTCTATAGTTTGTGATTAATTCATGATCCAAGGCTGGGATTATGGGTCTGAGTGCTACATCCAGTCTGGGGCAGATAGCCTGAATGTAACATAAGAGAAACAGAGATATAGACTTGTTCTCTGTTGCCATTTTTGTTGCTACTCCTCCTTCTACTCTCTTGCTCTTTGCTGCCACTATGAAAGGTTCCTCTCTGCCATTTGCCATTCTGCTTTGGAGCCAGCTGAGTATGGACTGAAACCTCCAGTAACTGGGAGCTAAATAAACCTTTCCTTCCCTAATTTTGAGTGTCAGGTATTTGTCCCAGCAATGAGAGAAGAGTAACTGAGATACTTGGTTATTGACCATGAGGCCTAGGAAAACTCTAGAATTATATCAGACTTTTACTTTTATGTGATTCACTGATTCTATAATTGTATAGTACCCTTTCTATACAACTAAAGTTTCCTCCAAGTTATTAGAACACTCATATCTTGGCATTCAGCAATATAGCATCTAAAAATTCTTGACTCCACCTGATCTCGTCTTTCTTTATATACTGGGTAGTTGTATAACCTATGACCTGAAATGAATCTTCACTTCTGTTTGCCTTCAATAAGACAGAATAATGATAGGTTCTGGCCCTAGTAAGAATTGCTGAAACTATCATGGTGGTCATCTAATATGGCTGAGCCCTAAAAACAACAGCTTTAGGGGCTGGGGAGATAGCTCATTAGAATATGCCCTTGCCTGGCAAGTGCAAGGGCCTGAGTTCAATCCTGGGTTCCACAAAACAAAACAGAACAGAACAGAACAAAACAAACCAAACAATGGCTTCTCTGCCCAGAGGCCACCTCCCTCATTCTTCTCTAGCTCAGCCCAGGGTGCAATTTCCTTCCACCTTTCCCACCACCTCAGGGAAGACCCCCGATCCACTCCTGAGATATTTCTAAACACCCCCCTCAAACTCCACCCCTAGCAAAAGTCCATAAAAGCCCCAGCTTGCTTTTTCTCAGGTAGGAGGATCTACCTAACCCATCTGCCCTCAGTCCTCTCCGTGTCTATGGATTTAATAAAGGCTTCTTTTATCTTTCTTATCTCTTTTTTGTGCCTCCGAAAAACCTATCAAATACTATTACTTCCCTTGGTCAGAGAAGCAGAAGTAAAAGAGCTTCGGAAAAATGAAAAGTACCATATAATTACACATGCGATTTTTGTTTTGTTTTTGTCTTCTGTTCAATACCATTTATAAGAGATAGGAATCCAAGTGCTGTTCTGGAAAAAAAAAAAACAAAAAACCAAAACTAAACTAAACTTTGAACTTCAAGCCATTACATCTGGATAAATCTTTGTTATATTAGGGTAGGATGGAAGATGGTTATCTGTTCCTTCAAGAGTGGTCCCACTTGATACTGTTCCAATAAAACCAAAATAGTAACTGGATAATAAGATTCATGTATGTATGTATATAGTGCTGAGGCTTCAGCCCAGAGCCTTGGACACACCATAAAAATGTTCTATCACTAAGCTATATATTTCCAGTCCTTAATAAATGTTACTGATAAGAACATGGAAGTTGACAGTGAGATAGCTCAGTGGTCT